TGCTGAATCTTAAAAATGTCCAGTGTTGGGGACTCCACCACTCCCCTGGGGAAGTTATTCCAATGGCTGATTGTTCGCATTGTGAAAAATCTTCCTCCTGTCCAATTGGAATCTCCCCAGGTGTAACTAGTACCCATTATCCCTCATCTTTTCCCTGTGACTCCCTGTAACAGGCGAGTCTGTCGTCTTTGTAGCCACCCTTTAAATGCTGAAACATGGTGATAAGGTCTCCCCTAAGCCTTCTTTTGTCAAGGCCAGACAAACCCAGTTCTCTCAGCCTTTCCTCACGTGGCAGCCTCCCAGTCCATTGATCATCTTTGTCGCCCTTCTCTGGTCCTTCTTCAGCCTGTCCACATCTTTTGTATGGCAGGGACCAAGACTGAACACAGTATTCCAGGGGTGGCCTGACAGGCTCTGAGAAGAGTGGGATAGTGACTTCTTCATCTCTGCCTGTGATGACCTTGTTGATACAACCCAGGATCCTGCTGGATTTTTTTGCCACTGCAGTAGAGTGTTCATACTGAGTTTGTTCACCAGGACAACATAAACAGATTAAGTTGTCTTCACACAAATTGGCTTGCATCTTCAATTTATTTCTATCTTTAGATAGAAGTTTTTGTTTGTTTGTTTGTTTTAAGCAAGCTAACACAGACAGGTTGACTAGAACTAAACATTGGTAGTTTCTGTTTTCAGCATGTAGTACATGGAAACAATATTTACACAGTAGAGGTCAAAAGATCCCTTTGATACTTTTGTATAACAAGTAGTCATCTGATGTCCCTCACAGAGGCTGAAATCTTCTAAATAACAAAGGACTTGGTATGCTTGAAATCCTAAATGAAGCAAACAAGGTTACATAAGTAATAGTTCAAAGATTTTAACCAAATTAACACTGAGTGTAGATTTCGGAAGAAACAAAGGCATCAAGACTGAAAAGAAGCCTGCCTGAAGCACTGTCAGTTAACCTTTATCCTTTCCTGGAAAGGGAAGTCTACAGAATGCACCACTACACAGAATAAAAACAATAGCTTATTAAAAATACAAGTATCAAACATCTCTGTTGAGCATCTGATTCATAAGTGCGCTAATACTGATAAACAGACAGCACAGCTCTTCAGAGTTTGCTCCTTCCCACTCTAAGCAACCTGGCAGCTGGCCTCAGGAAGTTTCCTATACAAATACCAAGTGAAGAAATGAGCTTACACTGTTTAATAGGTTCTGGTCTGACTAAAAAAGTGGGTGGCCTTGAGAGAGCTTTGAAGGCTACTAATGTAGCCTTAGATAGTGCAACTCAGTTGCTTCTAGTTGAAGCTGCTGGAGCTCCTTTCTTTCTGCACTGATCTGGAAAGCTGGAGCAAAGTTCACATAGTTAAAGCCCTTGAGCCCTCTCAGTGAGAAAGAGGGGAAAAAAAGTCTTAAGTTTTGGTTTCCTATGTAGCCAAACCTTTTGACTGACATGAATCTTAGCGGAATTAGGGCCCAATCTTTCGCTGTTGCCTTGGACTGTGTCCAAGTTAGTTTCCTTGGTTAACTGATGTGCACAGGCAAGGCTGAGTGGAAGCCTTCACAGCGAAGGTCCTTAAGGGGACAATATAGAGATGATGTTGTCAAATAGTATCAGGGTGTTATCTCTTCAGTTCATATGATAGAGGGGGAAAAAAAAAAAAAATCAAGAAAATGGTAAAAAAAAAAGAAGCCAATAGAACAGGGAAGTATAGGAAGAAGTAGGTAAAAGACCAACAGGGAAGAACCTGGTTAGTGTGGTAAAGAAAAAGATGGCAAAATATGGAGCAAGATGCTGTATATGCATGCCTCTTGTAACAGGAAGCTCTAGATGCCAGCAGAGGTAAAGTGTCTCCAGGTACTGCTGGCATGTGTGGTTTGGCTGGTCTGTAGGTGTGCAAAAACATCACAGGTCCAAGGAATTTTGAAGACCTCTAATTTAAACACCCTGCTGAAATAGAAATACTTGCCTTTTCACTCGTAGATTGATAGTTGGTCATCTTTCTGTTAAGAGAACAGGAAAGGAACAGAGGTTAAATAGTGATTTCCCAGGTGTTAGTTTCAACCCTTTAAGAACCTTATTTATGAATTAATTTTTATTAAATTACCAGTTATGATTTTGCCTAGTTTGTGGCCAGTATAGATCACACAGTATTTTCAAGTGATATTTGTATTTCTCTTTGGTACTTTTTTTTTTTTTTTAAAAAAAAATGTATATATGTATGCTATTACCTTAGTGCCAAGATAAAATCTTAAAAAAGTAAAATTGGAGGCCAGCCTCCAGCCTCCAATGAAGCACACAATTTTAGCCTTAAAAAGTTTGGGAGCTTTAAAACAGCGTGGGAAATTATGACTTGCTACTAATAAATTTAAGCGCATGAAATAAACCCCTGTCAAAGGAATAGAGCAAAAACCCTCAACAAGCTCTCACACATACTTATAAGAAAAAAAATAAAAATCATTAAATACTCTGTAGGCATGGATATAAGGGCATTTCAATTCGGTTCTAATCATCTTTTGTCTAGTTTGAAGACAAGACAAAGGCATGCATCTAGCTGAGTTAAGGGTGCAAACTGTAACTGTGTAAAAAGACACCTCTTAATTTTTATCACAGTAACAATGCTTAAATCATTTTCTGACTAGCACGCAGCTAGTGTGTAGGATGAGGTTTATTTCAGTGTTCAAAAAGCTGCTGTACAAGAATCATAGGAGAAAGGCTTTCTTTAGACAATCAGCACAGTTACTGAATCAGAAATGTAAGTGAAGTTTCCAGTGATTTGTACACTACTTGCATCAAGATACTTACTGGGAAGGGCTTTCCTCTGAAAAGGAAAAAAAAAAAAAAAAGAAAAAAAGAAAGAAAAAAGAATTAGCACAAGAACAGTTTCTGTAGCCAATTTAAAGTTCTTTGAAACAGTTACTCATAGCTTATTCAGCTCTTCAGTCTCTAGAAGGAGTTTCTGAACCAAATTTCTCTTTTTGGTGTAGTTTAATTAGAAAAAAATATTAGGTTGCTTTCAAAGGTAAATGGACTTGGAAGTGAGCACGACCCCTGACAGCAGCTCCATTAGCCTGTTACTGCCAGGCAGCGGGCACCCCCCTCCTGCTGTGCTGAGCCCTACCCGCAGCAGTGCGGACGCTGCCCAGGGGGTCGCTCCGTGCCCAGCTTTTGGCAGCAATCCTTAACAGCACTTTCGCCACGCCCCAGGAGAGGGAGCCAGTCCATTCAGTTTCCCCTCCATCAGAACTCAGCCGCTCAGACCTCCTCGACTAAAAGCTAGCTTGGGCTGCTTGGTTTTGTCTCGCCTTGCTTTGCCATGCCCTCCCAAAACTAGCTCAGAGAGGCTCCAGGAGCAAGGCTTCGGCTCGTTGCTTTCCCGGGCTGGCTGTCTGGTAGCCTCACACAACGGCACAGGCGTCTCCACGTCATTCTTGGCAGTGTCTGCTGTAGTAGAAGCTGTCAGAATAAGAGTGTCCACACAAAACAAGTTGCTGTCCTAGCACTCTTTAGCTTTAGTACCATGGAGTTAGAGCCTTCATGAAAAGGAGATGCTACAGCCAGCACAAGTACGGACATT